ACAACGAGTGGTGTTGGAACCTTCCCGGTTAACTTCCGAGAAGCCACCAAAAAGGATCCAGGGTTGCGATCCATCGGCGTACCACCAAATCGGAATACAAGTCCTGAGTAAGTCTGTTTGCCAGTTTTCGTTATCACCTATCTGTCAACGAGTATTAGCTGTCGAGGTTAGATTCAGGAATATCTCTTTTTAAGTAACGTCGGGTCAGAAATAAGCGTAGATAGATTTTAAGGTTCATTTTTTTTTGTTCATTGTCTATTTTTACTTGTTATTTTGTTAATATAGTTTAAGTGTGGTTAGAACACTTGTCTTTTGATTTTCCCCTTTTCCTGACAGAGCCTTAGTGCAAGAACCCACGGTTCTGAAATAGTGACCGCGCGCTTGTCATTTAGTTTTGATTGATTCGCTAGGATCAATTAGGGGTCCTTCAGACTAAGAATTAGGAAGCGCGAAATACTGTTTCTGGTGGCAGCGGTATTACCAAAGGTCGAGACCGTTCAAAGGCGGCCTCACCACAGTTGTACCATTGTCCACCTCCGTTTGGGATCCCATATTTAGTAGGTTCTGGAAGTAATTTTTACCTCAACCTCATCGCTCACTATCTTCCCTGCTTCTTCTTTGCATAGAGCTGTGTGGGGTTTATATACTTGTCTCAACCATTTAACAAACTTATACGCACTCCTAGAATCATTGGCTTTAAAATCACATTCCACGTTCAGTATTCGGTTGTTCTGGTATTCCCGTTTCATGCGTCTGCGTATCTTGTTCCTGAATAGTTCCTCTCCCTCTCTTGTTGGTCTAGCTATGAATTTATTGCACGTCGTCAAATCAGGTCGCTCTTTTAGGTTTCTCCGCGATTCCCAAGACTTTCTGCGATCCTCCTTCCACTGCTGTCTTAATAATACTCCACTGGTCGTCTGGCTATTATCGTCTCCAGTGCTTTCATTTATCCTTATTTCTATTTCCCTCATCAATCTGTGCTGCGCTTCGTGTTTTCAGTTTTTTAAGGTTAAGTTTTCCACTTCTATACCTTTTTTGCTGGGGTTGGCTGCTAATTTTACACCTTAATGTTGCGTCTATGATCGTTCTTGTTTTTACGTCTATGATACTTGAGGCAAATCTTTTGTCTATCATCACATGGTCTATTTGATGATATGTGTGAACAGTTTATACCCCTCTTCTTCCCAAACTCTCTGCAGCAGTGTATAAATTCTCCTTGCCAACCTCCATTCTCCTCCAGCCTTCAGCATTTCTGTTGATATGCCATCGATCCCTGGTGCCTTCCCGTTTTTAAGTGCCGCATTTGCGTCTTGAACCTCATTGATGGCTATGTGCCCAGTAGTCTTCTCCTCTTCTTGGTTTGTTGTACCATTGTCCACCTCCGTTTGGGATCCCATGTTTAGTAGGTTCTGGAAGTAATTTTTTACCTCAACCTCATCGCTCACTATCTTCCCTGCTTCTTCTCTGCATAGAGCTTTATGGGGTTTATATTCTTGTCTCAACCATTTAACAAACTTATACGCACTCCTGGTATCATTGGTTTTAAAATTACATTCCATGTTCAGTGTTCGGTTGGTCTGGTATTCCTGTTTCTTCCGTCTGCGTATCTTGTTCCTGAATAGTTCCCCTCTCTCTCTCTCTTGTTGGTCTAGCTATGAATTTATTGTGCGTCGTCAAATCAGGTCGCTCTTTTAGGTTTCTCCGCGATTCCACTGCTGTCTTAATAATACTCCACTGGTCGTCTGGCTATTATCGTCTCCAGTGCTTTCATTTATCCTTATTTCTATTTCCCTCATCAATCTGTGCTGCGCTTCGTGTTTTCAGTTTTTTAAGGTTAAGTTTTCCACTTCTATACCTTTTTTGCTGGGGTTGGCTGCTAATTTTACACCTTAATGTTGCGTCTATGATCGTTCTTGTTTTTACGTCTATGATACTTGAGGCAAATCTTTTGTCTATCATCACATGGTCTATTTGATGCCATCAGCTGAGGTCCATGTCGCCTTCTGTATGCTCTGGTGTGGAGAGCATGTTGAGCTAATGACTAACTTATTTACTTCTTTGGTTTCCTTTTTCTTTTGTCTGGTGTTGTTCGAATTTGTTCAAATGGAGTCGATTCACACTTTTAAGGCTATACTTTTTTGCTCAAGTGTTCAAAAAAATTGATTGGTAATTAAGTAAAATTAAGATAGCTAGAATTCGTCATTGTTATGGTATAGTAGTGAAAAGTCGGTATATCAGATCGATGTTAGTACTGGAGGGGGGTTAAGATTACCTTTTAATTGATCAATTCAGTAATATTGATTAAATAAATTGAATGCGATTAAATAAAATTGTAAAAACACACAAACTAAAGATTTATTACAGGAAATCATGCGACGATTATCAAAAAAAAAAAATAAATCTACTTTGTAGGGGGGCGAACACGAAAACATGCAACAAAGTCATAAAAAAAAAAATCAGTACCCTACACTGGATGGTACCCAGTAAATAAAAATTACATCAATAAACAACTACTTAAAAATCTAAATAAATCGTATATTCCAGAAGATATTTTACTTTCTAACCTCCCTTTTTTTATAAATTTTATTAAAGAATAATTTTACATACTCTTCATCCGATTCTAACAAAGGAATCGAATTTTTTGTTAATTCTTCAAAAGAAATCTCCCGAAATAAACTTTTTGGTTGAAAATTTTCGTTTAAACAAGTCTTATTTAAAGCAACAGAAACACAATGATCATCGTTTAATAACATTTCTTGAAACTCCCAATTTTCTTTTTGATTTTTAATAAACAACTCTGTATCGCTAACTAAAACATCTTTCCTCAACCTCTTTGTATTAATTTTAAAACTTATATCTTGTAAATTAATAGTAATTCCAACCCCAATGGCTTTAACATAACTCTCTTTTAACGACCAATGTCGACAAAACATAGCTAATTGTTCCCTTTCACTCCCGCAACCTTTAATGTTCAACCATTCCAATTGAGAAAATTGTCTATTCATTATCCGAAAAAATTCACCTAAACTTTTCGAACCGGAATATTCTATTTTCATGACATCGACACCGATATTTGGTAAATTCTTTTCGCCCGCAATAACTACATAATCGCCTTGATGACTAACATTAAAACTTAAATTACTAAAACGTTTTTCAGGATCGATTAAAATCGGTTTTCCTTTATCGTCGCGTTTAAATCTAATTTTGTTATATTCGAGTTGGGTGGATTCAGAAACGAATTTTCGCATCATTAATCGGCCGATTAAAGAGGATTTAAAATCATCTTTAAAAACAAATTTAATAAGGCGATCTTTTTCCTCCGATTGTACGCAAGACGTTGATAATAACATCTCGGAATGGGTTGGATTCCAATTTTTTGAATTAAAACACCAACGAGTACTTTCTATAGACATTTTTGATGTAATTGATGTGATTTTAAGAAAAAATCTCATTCCTCCAAGCTTTTTAATTCCTAGTTCCTTTGATTTTTGAAATCATTGGATACCTAGGAATTAAAAAAGAGGTTAGAAATAAAAATATCTTCCGGCGATTAATAAAACACCTTCTTACCATATAAAATAGCATTTTTTGGTCCTCTGTGGGGTAAAGATGATGTTGCTGATAATTGTGCTTTATGCATTAACTCATAATTACATTCCCAGTAGTTATATATATCTAAACATAAAATTATTAAATTATTGAATAATTTAAAAATGAGTCATTTAGTGACTAAAACTTTACTCTTCATTCATTTAACGTAATTAACAGCCATAATGATAGATACCCAGAAAATCCTGGATATTAACCAAAGAAATAACGTAATTTGTTAACAAAAAACTTTGTATGTCATTTTCGCTATTTGGGGCTTGGTTATTTCTAACCGTTTTTTTTATTTCTTACCTGCTAAAACATTTCCAGGGAATAAAAACGCGAGCAATACGAAAATACACAATTTTAGATCCATTTTTATACACAATAAACACAACGAGACGAAGAATACGTTCCTTTTTAAAAAATATATCACAAAATCGCTACACCCATGTTTGATGATGCGTTTTTACTTCTTGTTATGCGGTGTTTTAGAGTAGGGAGGGTTTTAAACATTCCATCTCTTTTCGATTATCGCGAAACATACTGTTTATTCACTTCCTCTCACTTATCATTCTTGTCATTAATGACAGTTGACAAGTATTCATTGCCCTGAAGTTGGAATTTGATATAAGCAGAAAGGGTTTTATTTAAAATTGATTTTTTTTAATTAAATTGTTTAAATAATTAAAACTTTTTGTATTTTCTTAATTAAAAAATTAAGTTTTATAGATTTTTTGAATTTCAACTTTAAACACAAATCATTTATTAATATTACATAATCGACCTTCAAACAAATTTCAGTTGGTATTTTATCACTAAATTTTTATTTTTAGTCGGTTCATGAAGGTCGCATTTAATATCACGATTAAATCCTTTCCCATTTACAATCCATTTCAATAAAAGTACCTCTTTATAAAGACTCCCCATTAAAATATTCATATTTAAAGTCACGTACAACTTCCTTTCAAAGAAAGACAACTTTTAACCTCTCTATTACACCAAAAAATGAGTGCTGGTCAGGTAATTATAAATAACCCCTTAAACACCACAAAAAAACACATTTTAAAATTCAAGGTAATTAAATGTAAAGCTGCTGTTGCTTGGGCAGCTAAAGAGCCGTTATCACTGGAAGAAATAGAAGTAGCCCCCCCAAAAGCGAATGAAGTTAGGATAAAAATCCTTTATACGGCTTTATGCCATACTGATGCTTACACTTGGGGCGGGTTAGATCCTGAAGGTATATTCCCGGTGGTTTTGGGTCATGAGGGCTCTGGAATTGTTGAAAGTATTGGTGAAAATGTAACAAACGTAAAACCAGGAGACCACGTAATCCCATTGTATATCCCACAATGCGGTGATTGTAAATTTTGTAAATCACCAAAAACCAATTTGTGTCAAAAAATCCGAATTCCTCAAGGAAAAGGGGTGATGCCGGATGGCACATCAAGATTTACATGTAAAGGAAAATCTTTGGCCCATTTTATGGGGTGCTCCACATTTAGCGAATACACGGTTGTTTGTGATATTTCCGTAACAAAAGTAAGCGAAGCAGCTCCTTTAGATAAAGTCTGTTTATTAGGATGTGGAATTCCAACTGGATATGGGGCCGCTTTGAATACTGCTAAAGTAGAAAATGGGAGCTCTTGCGCCGTTTTTGGATTAGGAGCGGTTGGATTAGCAGTTATTATGGGTTGCAAGGCAGCCGGCGCATCAAGAATTATTGCGGTTGATTTAAATCCATCTAAATTTGAACTTGCTAAACAATTTGGAGCAACTGAATGTGTTAATCCAAAAGATTACGAAAAACCAATTCAAGAAGTTTTGATTGAAATGACCGATGGTGGTTTAGATTATACATTTGAATGTGTTGGAAATGTAAATATAATGAGAGCAGCTCTTGAGGCTTGTCATAAAGGTTGGGGGGTTTCTACGATTGTTGGTGTAGCAGCTTCCGGGCAAGAAATAAGTACTCGTCCGTTTCAGTTGGTCACAGGAAGAGTTTGGAAAGGAACTGCTTTTGGAGGTAATAATAATTATAAAAAATTTAAAAATTTTTAATAAAATATTTTTTTTTTTAGGTTGGAAAAGTAGGGAGAGTGTTCCAATGTTAGTTGAGAAATATTTGGATAAGAAGTTAATGTTGGATGAGTTTATTTCTCATAATATGGATTTCTCCGAGATTAATGAAGCTTTCCATTTATTGCACGAAGGAAAATGGTAATAATAAAAATTAATTAGTTGAATAATTTTTTTATTTTGACATTTTCAGCATTCGAGTTGTTTTGAAAGTTGGTTCTGCTTAAAAATAATAAATTTTATTATAAGAAATCATGATTATTATTACTTTATGTAATGAGCATTTAAATTGAATAAAATAATTTCTCATAACTCATAACATAACCTATTTTGTATAAATAATATTCAGGTAGGCAACCAATAATACACGCAATAATTATTATGACATGCAGACTATTTTTATTATTATAATCGTTATTATAAATCCATTTCGATTTATTTACTTCTTTTTTGATTACAGAATTTCAAACCTTTTATGATCTAAGAAAAGATCATCCGCTGGGTTACAGCGATAATGACAGAATGGGATAATAAGGTTATTGCAATTTGTAATGAATACAAGGAATTTAAAGAAGAAATTACCAAAAAAAGGAACACAAATCAAGAAGCCGAATTAAGCGAGGAATCATAAAGTGTTTTAAAATGTTTAGCGGAAAGCTCTTCTAATTAAATATTTATATTCTTATTAAAAACGAATTTTTGCGTGTATTATTGGTTGCCTATATAAAGCAGTAAAATCTTAGGTGTGAGTTGTTAATTTTAAATAATTATTGAAATATTGATGATGGCACATCATAGAACATTATTATTTATATTTACAGTTACCGATTTTGTGATCTCTATGAGTTATCATCTTTTTTATCATTTTGAAACTTTTCAAACACAAGTTCTTCAAATCGATTCAGTCTTCTCTTGATATTTTTCCTCCTGTAGTCTTCATACTCTTTATCAAATCTTAATTCTGCAATATAACACCTGATGACATCGCAGGAATCATAAAGTGTTTTAAAATGTTTAGCGGTAAACTCTGCGAATTCCTCGCTTAATTTCACTTCTTGAGTTGTGTTGGTTTTCTTGATGGTTTCTTCTAATTCTCTATATTCATTACGAATTGCAACAATCTTATTCTCCCATTCTGCCAACTCTGCAATAATGTTATCGCTGTATCCCAATGGAAGATCTTTTCTTAAATCATAAAAGCTTTGAAATTCTGTAATCAAAAAAGAAGTAAATAAATCGAAATAGATTTATAATAACGATTATAATAATATAAATAGTCTTTCATAATAATTACAGTACCTGCGTTTAATAAAGAACTTCTCTTCTCTGGTTTCTCAGCCATCGTTTTGTCTCCACGGAATTAAAAACGAGATTTTATATACTTAGGTTAGATTTATAACGGAAATTTATTTAAACTGCTGTCAATGCGTGTATTATTGGTTGCCTATATAAAGGAATAAAATATATAAATCGTCGTAACAGGAAAAAGTCACTAAGTACAAAAAATAATAAAATCGACATTTTATCACTAAATACATTATCCTTTAATAATCTTTTTCTATAAAAACACACTAACTGCAAAAATCCATCCAAACGCCAGTTACAAAATAGAAACACTCACAATTGTATAATGTGTTGCCTATCCGACAGGAAAAAGAAAAAATCAATGCAGTTAATAAGTTTTATTAATATTAAAAATACCGATATTTCCGAGCTTAATAATTATTTCAATTCAGGTACAGATTTATAATAAATTATTATTGTTCATTTAAAAATTGTTGTAATAAACCATTTTGAATAGGAATATTTAAATATTCAGCACCATCCACCGATCGTTTTATTTTAACCATCTTATGATCAACAAATTCGGTTAATTGTGCTCTTAACGCTAAGTCAGAGCTGACTAAAAACGCTTCACGACAAGACCAATACAAATCTTTAAAAAGCATCCCTAAAATAGCCAAAAATCTCATTTAACGAAACATAAACATGAACTCCTTACCTTGATAATATTGTCCGGAGTTTTGTAATTGATATTTGACAATAATCAAATAAATTCCTTTTGAATTCGATGTTAATGATAAAAATACATTTTTCAATGACGATAAAGCTAATGATCCAGTTTTGGTAATCATCATAGATGTTTCGAAGGAAGTCTCATCTTTGTATGGTAAAAATGAGGTTAAATCCCACCAAGTGAAATTAAATTTACTCAATTTGTTTTGATCCCAAACTAAAACAAAACATTATTAAAAAAAATTAAACCAAAATAATAAAAATTATTACTTAATGGTGCATTTATATGATCAATAGAAGCAATTAGATGAATATTTTCAACATGGACTAATTTGGCTAAAACACCTTGATGTTTTGGATTTCTTAAAGAATCACCTTCTATGTTATGAATAATTAAGTAAAGATGTAAATTGGGATACTTTTTAAATTCATCCTCGATTAAATCTACAGCTTCAAAAAGATTACTCGAAGATTCTTTTATCTCTAATATTTGAAGTAAAATCGAATCTAAAATTTCCTTTATAGTTAAGCTTGGAAAAAAACCATTAACAACAATAACAGGCAAATCAGTTAAACAATCGTTTTGGAATTCAAATAAAACATCACGTTTTGAACCTAAACCGTAAGTTAAAACATTAAAACCTTCATGTAATAAGCAAAGCCATTTCTTAAATATATTTTTATAATCCAAACAATTCTTTTCAATTATATATTTATGTTGCTCCGATATGGTTAAATTTGAAAGCAACTTTCTCAATTCATCCTGTGACAATCTCGGTCGTTTTAAGTGTTCTAAAGTATGATTGGATGTTTGTGGTTTTTTAATTGCATTATTAAAAAAATAATCTTCCGACTTTATCATGTAAGACCTAGAAGTTTTCTTTTTTAATTCTTTTTTTTGTGTGAAATCAACTGATTTAACACTATTTTTTTGTTGTTTTAAATATTTTGGTTCTTTTAAATTCAATTCTTGATTCGTATCCAATGAATCTTCCATTTCATCATTGCTTTCATCAGATGATGATGATGATTCAGATGATTCTGATGGAGAGGTGTAATCTTCTGAGTTTGAAGATGATACTAAAAATAATAAGAAAATAGAAATTAATTGAGTTAATTAATTATAAATACCTTCGAAAATTGGGTCTTCTCTTAGCGGTTCAATTTCTTCGTAATTTTTCACCTGTTGCGCTTCTAAAGCTTTTAAACTCATGCGTTTTTGTCTTTGACCCCTCCTTGGGGTGTTCACTTCCATGTTTTATATAGTTTGGATACTAATATTTATGGATAAGAACGTGGAAGATTCTTAACTTGTTTTGTTGTTTGAGGTTATGTTGCAACTCTTTCGAAAGCATGTGGCGCCATCTGTTGGAGATATTTTGAAATTGTTTAAGCAAAGCTATAATGTCAATTACTCCTATAATCTAATTATTTAATCACACTCTTATTACTTTATTATACTCTTACCGTAAAATCACTTTAATGTGACTTTTTCATTTGCCATCTACCAGTTTAAACTTACACTACAAGTTCAAAATCTGAACAAACGTCAACTTTTTAAATTCTTAGCGCCAAATTTTAAAAAATATAACACGAATTGAAATCTATACTTTTTAAATTGAAAAAATGATACTGGTAATAATTGTTATTGCTGTCTCTCATCATTCCCACTATTAATAACAAAATTGTTAGTTTAATTAAATTATTTCAGTATAGACGCTAATGCCCTCTCGCGGCGGGATTGCGACATATAATCAGACCCAAATTCCCCTAAGATACTTGGCTGGTGCTTATGTTGAATTGGTAAGATTTTACGGTAAAAGAAGTAATGTTGAAATGTTTAATCAGTTTATATTAGATTTATATTTCCAACAAAAAAACGGAATCACATCCAACAATATAAACAAACATTGAAACTTGAATTATGAATTAACTATTGTTTAATATGTAAAGAGAGATATATGATTTCTTATGAATAATTAAGTTATAATAATTATTACTTTTTGTTGATAATCCCACCAAATATTTTTATTGAATGCCTTCAACAATAGCCGTATCATCTAAAGTATGTAACCAATTAAAAATCATCATATTTCTTTCATATTTTGAAAGTGGTTTTCCCCTTTCTCTTTCAACATCTCTCAACGTTAAGGGAAGATTATTTGTCGCTCTTTGTTTGGCCACTCTTAAAACGGCTGCGTTTGTACTATTAATTGGCTTTGATGGTTGTGCATTTCCGGTTGTGCTAACACCTGGAACTGTTAATCTTGTTGTTCCAGTTGTGGTACAATCTGTACTTATGCTTGCAGTCGCTGTTGATGGGGTTACTTCTATTCTATCCAAGTTAAATTCACTTTGTGATAATCTCTCGAGAGCTTTATATGTTGTTAATAAACGTCTCCTTATATAATTTTGACGAACCTTTTTATTAACCGATCGAATAAAATCGGCTGCGGTGAATGTTGGCGGTGGTGGTGTGCTAGCTGGAGGTGCTACATTCGAATTGGAATGTCCACCGTGAGGTGATGGAAGTTGAGAAGTCGAGGCGACATCTCCAACAGCAACCCAGGTAGAACAAGATCTTGATGTATGATCCAATCTCCCATGTTCTAAAAGAAACCCGGATCTTTGAAGAGTGTTTAAAGCTAACTCGGAAACCGCACAACGAAAAGCTGGAAGGATTGGTGCATCTTCGGGTGATGGTAATTGAGTTATATCGCTGGTACTAAAACTTTTTTGAAGACCCAAAGCCGACGATAATGCAGCACAACTTTTTATTAAATCAGTTTCTTCTTCAAACCATAATATTTCAGGTATATCAGCAGGTCTAAAAGAAAATTATGTTAAGTTTAATTAATTATTGATGTTTTGAAATTAATTTACCTCGTATTTGATTGATGTCTACTATCTGGATTAGGACTATGTCCTCGTCCAAATTGCCCATCCTTATTAAACGCTAAAAGTCTTCTTCCATGGGCTTCAGAAGCCGCCGAGGAAACAGAAAATAACGAGAGATCTGTGGTGACGGATTCATGGGATGGTGACCGTAATATCCGACAGGCAACCGTTAAAACGGGCGTTTGCGGTGTTGTTAGTTGATTGGTTTCGACGTTTTTCAACGACGACGTCATGATGCTGATGTTGTTCAACGTTATTCACAGTTACTGGACCATTTTATATCGGGAAATGACCGGGAATGATCTGTTGACATCCGGCGTTGGTGCACTACGACGCCGATTTAGCAAAATCGATAACGATAGGGTAGGAGTGACGCGCGTCGCGTACACCCAAGTGATAACCACTAGTTAATGGGTGTGGAGTTAAAAAAAATTCAAAAATCCATTTGATTTAAACGAATTAATTTGTTTATAAATTAATTTTTTTTCTTCTTTACATTAATTTTTTCATGCGATGTGGATCCCCATCCTGCATTTGGCACACCTACTCCAGCCACTTGAGAAGTTTATCACACTATACCTTTGGGTACGGTACACCTAAGGAGTGGCATAATGGCATGTCGGAGTAGTTTTGAGCATATTGCTTAAACCTGTAAATGGTAGTTCTAACCACTTTCTTTATATGCAAAAGCAAAGGAGACAGGGCAAGATCATTGCTAGAGTTGGGGTTGTGCTTATTGCACCACATATTGCCATAGTTCATTATTTAGTTAATAATTAGTTAGTAGAGACCACATTGCCAACTTCTTTCTGAACAAGATTGCACCCATCTAAATGATGTTCCTCATCTTGGTGACAACCTCGGTTGACTAAGTTGGGCAAGGCTATGGACGTTGTAGTATGTTGGATGACATTAGTTTTCAATGATAGGAATGTTATGTAAGGTTAGTTTTGATTACAGGGTCCCTCAGGAAAAATGTTGGGTATGGTTAGTTTTGTTCCATCATCCCTTTCCAAGTAATATTTAAAGTCTTCAATGATCGTCTATAGTTTCTATACCACCAGGACGTTCCCTTCACCAGGAGTGCACTCTATCTTAAGGTCACTTAAGGTTTTGAGCTTATATTGTAAAATCCACTTGTATAAAAATAATAAATTTAATTCAAACTGTGATTATGCAACTAAGTTAACATGATTAAGTTTATTAATATTTATGGTAGATGGCGCTACTTATATTTACATTCAAAAAAGATTTATTTAATTGAACATTTAAAACTAATTACATCAAATTCGTTTAGGTTACCAATAAAACATAAATAAATAAAGTAATAAGAAAAGAATTGAATTAAACTTATGTGTTAATAAGAATACAAAAAGGGTCGTGTCGAGGTCAATACATTTGGGGTCCTTTGGAGTATCGAAACGTTTCATGTGAATTATTAATTTAATTTTTAAAAGAATTACATGTATAGGTCCAACCGGTCAAGTTTACAGCGGAATATAAATAAACACGCTAACTATAAATTTAAACGTTATCGTCTCATTTAAATACGCATGTGCTTGACATTGAAGCAAAATGGTCGGCCGCGCGACGTTGCCACGTTTCCACGACTAATTGGTCATTGTATTTTCATTAAAAAAAAGGAGTCTTCCGTTCGGATCGGTTTCAGTGCAAAATAATACCTATTAAACAATTTTTGATATCGATCCAAGTCGTTTTTGGTGATATTGTTGTTTAGAAAAAGCAAAAATTGGTAATCATGGTTCGTGAGGAAACGATATAAAAATCTATTCGGAGGTGATTTAATTTGTGGATTTAGTTGAAATGGTTATAATTTGTGAAGGAGAGGACAAGGTGAGTTGTAATTTGATTATTTAAAAATAGTTAACGTTAAAAAGTAGGGAATTTGTTTTGGGGAGTGGAGAAATTTGGCAACACTGTGTATCGTTTGTCGAACCATATCCGACTTGACATTTCTCAGTGCGATTCTTTATTGCAGATGGGTAGGTTACTTTAGCACTCGCATTTAGTTTTATTATATGTGATGTGTTCGGTGGTGTACTTTTTTTAAAAAACATACTTATCTTGTTATTAATTTAGTGGGTTATATTAATTAGTTCGGGTCGTGCGAGTTATAGTGTTGTCTCGGTATATGTTTGGGGCATTCGCTATCTCTTAAACCGAACAAAAGGAAGTTGTTTTTTTCCTCTTGTCCCGAGTTGTTTAAGTTGTATTTTCGTGCGAAGCAACGACGAGCGTTTACGGATTTTATTAAATGTTAATATGGCCTTAGCCAGGTAAGTTTTTTTATTTGTGTACTTCATTTAATTTCGGCTACGGCTTCCCCCTAACTCTTTTATTTGCGGTTTTCTTGTTATCGATATCTTCGTTTGATGTTATAGTCTCACCCACATCATCCCACATTCGAGTGGTAGATGTGTGTCAGGCCAATGTGGAGCACAGTTCGTGTTGCCTCAATCGAGAAATTTTCAATGACCCCAAAAACTAAACTAGTGTACGCCGCTAAATAGCCGAAGCAGTGTGGAGCACGCGAACAATTTGTATACTTTCTAGTTTTTCTTCCGAAATTACTCTACCTAAATATTTAAAGATAATCTTCTAATTAATTCGTTTATTTGAAACTGTTCCAGATTTTTGATTGTTCATTTTCTTATCAAGATATTTTTAACAACAAAATTTGAAAATAATACCATGGAAAACATTCATTGAAGTCGTTCCTTATCGAAAATGAGTAAATTATTATTGAAAATGTAAGCTCAAGGTCTTTAAATTGTATACAAGGTGATTTTTTTTAAAAAAATCTTGCGAAGGATTTCTAAATGGTTTGGATACTTTTTAATCAACTTCTTTAGTTTTAGATAAAAAATAAATAAATTTTATTAATTCTTATCAATAGGAAACCGTGCAAACAATTCGTTATCATCAAATTGTGACAACAATCGAAGTGAAATTAGCAAATTATGAATCATTCTGAAATGAATAAGAAAAAATTATGAGATTTCCTTTTGACGGTTGTTGTTGATCGTCGGGTTTGAAGATGATAATGTCTGTGACCTTAGTTTATAAAGGAGAACGGCTCGACCTTTACATTCTACATGTTTGCCCTCAACGTGTGTTCGCTATCTCGGCTAATTTTCGACTTTTCAAAATGCCATTCTTTATCGCCCAATTTAAAACTAACATTGAAAGCAACAAATTAAGCGATATTTAGGAAATTTACTTTTATAAAACCTCCAAATTTAATGTTACAGATGTTAATATTATTTTTATAAAAGATTCCATTACATTGAGATCAGTCGAGTAAAAAAAAACTTCTTGCTGAAGCTGAAATTAACTGTGATGTAGCCGGATTTGATTGAGATGGAACTAAATCACCGGAAATGTACTTAGAATTAACTGGAATGAAGCTAAAAAGGAACTATTAAAGATGGGTGAAAGAGAACTAATTGGGTTGCAGCTCAAATTTGGCTTTCTTTCTGTCTTAACTATTGTAGTATTAGCTGTTAAAAGCTTTATTACAGATTTCGATATGTTCCATCATTTCTTTTGCTTTTCTTGTGATTCATAAGATTTGGGTTTAAATAGCCATAGACTTAGTGAACCATTTCCTCCTAAAAACAAACTGTTTACCAATTAGGAGTGTTTTCTTCAAGGTACTCAAATAATTATAGATATTGGTCTGTAACTTCTTACATCTACCTTTGAACTAATTTTACAGATGATTTTACATTGGTGACGACGAAATAAAATTTCTTATTGGCAATTTTTATGAAACTTAGTCTACAATGACAAGATCTCCGAATATTAAAAGTATAAGTTACTGGCATCCATTACTGACTATGGATCATGAATTGCGGATTTCTAAAACATCTTGGTTTTCTTGGGTAACATTTGACTCTGAATATCTTCAATTGCGTCGTCTAGACTTGGGGCTTATTCTTATTATGGGCTTAAGTGTTTGGACATCACAGGATCTGTGTCATTTACCTCAAAATTCTGAAAATCTTTCAATCTGATTGTTACAACTTCCGGCAATCTTTGGGGTTTGTTTCTGAATTTCTAATGGAGGTTTTGGTCTCAAGCTCATTTATTAACTGAAATAGTTTTAACTTGACACTGTATTCACCAAAGGAGATTTTGTAGTACAAACTTAGCACAACGTATTCTTTTAATGTCTCTTTTTAACTTTTGCACGAAATATTAAAAAAATTTTTTTTTATTTTTTGTTTATTTTAGTTGTTTATAAAACCGAACGACGACGCCGGTCGACATTGACAATATTAATAGATTTTTGTGTTTATCCGATAAGTGTGCACAATGAAAACGAAGTTTTTAAACGTCGTTTAGATAAGCGAGTTAAACAAAACGCGATCCGTTTATGAGACTAGTATAAAACCAGAATCTATTAAAAATATTTAACTCGATTTGAAATTGATGCTAAATTTAAAATTTACATCTCTCGAAGCCACTGAAAAGTAAATTAGTCGTTAGTCATAACTAAATTTATCTTTTGAAGCTATTTTTTAAGGAAACTTTCAAAATCGGAAAAGTAAAATCTGATTACACTTTCAAATTTTTTAGCTCCGATTTAAACAAAAATTTTCAACGTCAATTAGAAAGCGCTTTAAAACATTTTCTAATCATCCAGCAAACAATGTTATTATACGACCTTTAATTATCATTTGATGAAAGAATTTTTTGCCAACTCCAGCATTTTTTTTTTAATAATAATATAATGTAACCTATTACCCCAATTTCAACACATATTCGTTCTCAATTCAATTCAATCATAACATAACAAATAATAAAAAGTTTCGTCATACGATTGACGACGCCAAACGACGCCGGGCGTCCTCACACACGAGTTGATTCCCTTGGACGGGCCAACGTACCTTAGAGGTCACCTAAGGCCCCCATCCATTCAACCAACGAAGATCTTCGTTCTCTTTGCCTTCTCTTTATTCGTTCTTGAATAAATTCTATTTGTTTTTATTTAAATTATTCATAACAAAAATTTAGGAATATAATTAACACCTTTTTATTATGATTATTTTTATTGTTATATAACGAGTCAGATCGATTAGAAACCAAGTACTTTCTCTGAAAAGTATCTCAAACGCCGATCGACTTTCTATCTTACAAAGGAAAGTACGTTTTTCTTTAATATTTGGCGACTTAAAAGTTGTAAGCTCTCCGACGGAAAATCACGGCACCCTCTCGGTGTGTGGATATTGATATTTCCGAGAACCAGGGGGGCGTCGGCACGAACAGAGTGAGAGAGAAGCGAATTTCGGGCAGGTTTCGATGTTCTAAGAGGGGCAAATCCTCGATACCAGGACCAGGACTGTTTCGCTCAAGGTCCCCGGCGTCGGATCGCGGCCATGTTGGAGGGTCGCCAGGGTCACACCGGGGGCCTGCGCCCCTCTTTGGTGGAGAGAGGGATGCGGGTTCGAGGTTACCGCCCTTTTCCAGGAGCTAAATCGACAAAGACTTGTAATCTAAAATTAAATAATTTTGATGTTTATAAAACCAGGTGTTTTTGGTATTTCTCACTCATTTGTAAACACATAGATAAAGCTTTTATTAATAATAATATTGTTTGAAACAAAAAAATCTTAGGGAAAAGGAGTTAAGCGTGAGAGATCTTGTTTAGAAATCTTGGAGCGGCCGCCGCGCTCAATTCGACAGCATAAATTATGCCCCGCGTCTTTCTGTCTTTCTTTCCGAGGAACACCGCGAAATGTAAAAGTCAATTCTGCCCACGAAACGGGCTTCGTACTTTCTAAGTTTCACCGCCGGCGACGGTTTCACCATTCGGGGAATAAGGAAGAATATGTCCTTCCATCAATTTAGGGACACTCAATTTACACTTTCCCAAAAAAAAATCTTTTCTTCATTTTCTTTTATTCCATGAATGGATTTTATTACATCACACACACGTAAACGCCCACGCCATTCGATTTCTATGACATAATTGGGAGGCGGAATGCGGTTCACGTTACTAATAATAAAATCGAAGTTGAATCGAGTTAATTAACGTTTATTTTGTTTTAATCATCAACGCTTGTTTCAAGTTCTTCTTTTTGTCACCGAAATTGGTCTTATTAACTGTGATCTCAATCTTTTTACCACGTTGGCACATTGAAGTGAGTCATTATACAACGAGAAGGCGCTCACCCATAAGTCAAGGTTGTTTCCGGTTAACGAAAGTACCGTTAGATTTTTCAAACATAATGAACAACTCGACAAAAAAAAAACAAGATTTAATCTGAATGATGATTTTTATTTTTATCAACAAAAAATATACATTACCTTTTTTGTTGTTCTCATTTTTGTGTTGAGTCTAAAAGTCTAAGGTTTGTTCATCCACATCTAAAGTCCATCGGACTATCCACCAACCTGGTATTACCTTTTCCATAGTTATTTTGTCCTTAGATCAAATTCTGCCTGGATATCAAGTTTAGAATTTTGAGATGTAGTGCTAGTAGATTACATAGTACGTTAACCCTTTGTGTCCCGACGGTACTTTAAAGTACCGGTAGTTTTAATCACTCATTTTAAACTGTATAATTTTTAAATTAACATCTTTTTTGACACTTTTAGGTTATACGAAAATATAAGTTTTATTTCAACTTTTTTATTCCAATATTTTATTCCAATATTTCCAATCCAACCCGACGGTTATTATATATCATTCTAAAAAGAAAGCTTTGAGCTTTAATTTAGAATAAGTCTCTCTCCTTAATTTCAATCAATATGGCTTCCAGGAATTTTTAAATTAGCATCTTTTTTTACACTTTAGGTTAGACGAAAATGTAAGTTTATTTCAACATTTTTTTTCTCTATATTTTTCCAATCTAACCCAACAATTATTATACATCATTTTAAAGAGAAAGCTTTGAGCTTTAATTTAGAATAAGTCTCATTCCTTAATTTCAATCAATACGGCTTCCAGGAATTTTTAAATTAGCATCTTTTTTTACACTTTAGGTTAGACGAAAATGTAAGTTTATTTCAACTTTTTTTTTCTCTATATTTTTCCAATCTAACCCAACAATTATTATACATCATTTTAAAAAGAAAGCTTTGAGCTTTAATTTAGAATAAGTCTCATTCCTTAATTTCAATCAATACGGCTTCCAGGAACTTTTAAATTAGCATCTTTTTTGACACTTTTAGGTTATACGAAAATGTAAGTTTT